ACCTATTGCAATAAAACGGCAATTTCATACTTTAACCCCTAATACATGCTTGATCTTTAGTTTTGTGTCTTTAATTTTTAAATAAAATGTAAGTAAATACTTTTACAGGCTTTTATAATTAATTGTTATATTATTTAAGAATTACAGAATGATCCATTTCAAACATTCTTTAGAAAAATAACTCTTAATTATTATGTATCTTTGGAAAAATGTTTGTTTGTGACTTTGTTTTTTGACACATTTAGGTATGTACCTCAAGCTGCATTTACAAGGCTGTCTTTAAGTCTTGTTGTTTTACAAATTTTCTACAACTATTAAAAAAAGAAATGTAGAAATTCAATATTTTTAATTCTACAAGCTGAAAACAAAATTAGGGTTTTGAATTAATTGGATCGCTTCATTACGGCGTCTTGTCAAAGTTAACATGTCAGATGTGAAAATTAATATTTCAAAATTTCCGTAAGAGTTTAAGTGTTGCCTTTTAAGTGTTAAATGGTGGAATGCTGGTATTTAGAATTCCAAAGTGGGCAATCCAGTGGATCTCCTCTCGATCTCTGTCCGACATCCGTCTCAAACAATTATTGCCAAACAAGCAATACTTGACCAAATGAAAAGACGCGTGATGCGAATGAAACTTCATACTGGATACTTGTCTTTTAATTTTGTCGAATATTACTTATTTGACAGTAATTGTTTCGGATGGATGTCGGACGGAGATCGAGAGTAGCCCCCCAGACTCGGTGACTGCCATGTGAATGTTTTGCGTGTGGTGCCCTCAATTTTAAATCATACCTATTTCAGTGATAGGGTACAGGTACAGATCATAAGGGTCTGCAATTAACAAGGTTGTCTGTCCAGGTTCAATTCTAGATTCTTTTTTTTTTTTTTTAGTTTTTATTAACAACTTACCTTGCCACATCAAGGTTAAAGATTACGAGTTAGTATTATTTGCTGACAATACTTCCTTATTAATCAAATTTACATCAATGTTCGTATTTTGCTAGTTTTCAGTTAATAATCTTAATGAGAAAAAACAAATTATGTGAAATTTACAGCCCAATGTTAGACAGACATCACAAACATCATAGTTGGACAATAAAAATTGTACTCTGTTAAACAGTAGTATTTTTAGCTATAATTTTAGATGCTAATTTGCAATGGTGTCGACAAATAACTAAGTTATCAAAACTGTTCGGCTCTGTAATGTAGGTACGTAATTTTTAAAAATAAGAAAGTTTCAGATGTAGATACCACTAGGGCAAAAAATTCCGATTGTCTCTTGAGAACCAGTTAACCATATCTACAAAACAGTCCTTCAACCGGTTTGCACTTACGGATTACAATTGTGGGGGTTCGCAAGTATGTCAAACTTCGAGATATTACAGAGGCTCCAGAATGGTGTGCTCAAAACTGGTAAATGCTCCATGGTTCACAAAAATGGATGATATTCATGATTATCAGAAAATCCCTACTGTCAAACAGGAGATAAGTAGCATGACAAAAGCGTATAAGGACAGAATCTCACAACATGAAAACAGGCTTGCACAAGCTCTAAACTAACTGCTAAAGTTACTATTGTCTGTTAAGACAATTGAAAAAGCACCACATGTGGGACTAAAGTAAGGAGAAATTGGAAAGATGTAGGCAGCCTAACACAGGGCGGGCGAGCCTAACTCGCCAAATAGATCATAACAAAACAACTGCCCATGGTCCATGGACCGATCGCACGTTGCAAAAGGCATCAAAAAAAGGATGCCACTACATTGGTTTACTGGGTTTCAGAGGGTCTTTGATAGAGAAGTTTAAAGGAATTAACATAGTTATACTGGTGTAACTGTATATGTATTTATGAAAACGTAATTTTATGAAAGATTGTGGTAGGCTTATTAATAAAATGTAAACACATGTACAAACTGGCTGTTCTTGACAGTCATCGTCACAAATTCATAAATTCATTTCGAGCAATATATTCATTTCTACATTAATATTCCGGTTGATATTTAAACTTATACTAATGGTTACTATACAACTTCTGCATTTTTGGATGACAAAAAACCATAGAAGCAAGTTGTTTTAGGTTGTCTAGACTGATATTTGAAATAAATATTGTAAATGATAAATGTGTACAAATGCTTATTTACAAGGAGCAACCCCGAGAGTGTCTTACTAATTTCTCTCAGGGAAAACTGCCTTACGAATAATTTCATACTATTTCAAGTGTAATTTGCTTACTTATGGAATACGGGCACATTTGAGATTGAAAGATGTCCAAAAACCACTATGACCCAAGTGATCATTGTCATTGATCAGATAGCTAATTCTCAAAGATAGCCATGTAACGTATCTTTAGACAGAATCATTTGTGGGCATTTCAGGAATGACAATTAAAAAAATACTGCATGATAAACTTGTGTAAAAAAGTTGATCTCTGATTGTATTCCACATTTACTTAGTGATGACCAAAAAACAGTTCATGTCAGATGGTATCGCAAGAGTTTGCAGAAATTCAGGCAATTGGCAAATGTTATCCAAGAGAACTTGAAAAAGAAATAGGTGTCGCATTTGTGGCAATGTTACCACACTTGTGCATGAAGATCGCAAGATAGTTAACACTGAATGTTATATAACAGTTTGCTTACCATAAAATATATATAAATTGTCACAGTTATAAAAAAAGGTTATAAATTTTTTGACCAATGTCACTTCACTGCTTGATGAACAATTGTATTTCTATATGAGCAAATGTGGAGATTCGGGACCTCTAGTCTTGACTTGACTGCTAATGATATCTTTACATTTCTTTTGTTTTGATTTCTTTAGTATTTGGAAATCAAAAATAAAGCAGTCTATTCCAAACATCAGAAAAAGCAGTTGAATATACTGCCCTCGGAACGTAAAAAGACACAACTGCTGTTTAAAGTACGCATAGTTGTGCCTTTTTATATATGGCTACGACTTCAAGAAACAACGAATGGTATTTCAGATTTTGATTGTTTGTAAGTTTCTTAAATGATGACTTAGAAGGCTGCTCTCATACTACTTCGAACCCTACTTCGAAATACATAAATAAAGTTATTTCAGGATTTGGGCCAAGCCCATGCCAGCATATTGAATGGTGATCCAAACATAATATTGGGTCATCATACTGGACAGCAGCAAGTGGCGGTCTCCGCAGCTGGAGCCCAGCAGATTCCGGTCTCTCAAATTATTGCCACCCAAACTGGACAAACACATGGTAACTTAAGCCTAATCTTAATTTCCTTGTTGAAAGTTGGACTTTATATTAATTAAATTTGCAAAATAAAATAGTGATATCCTGTAATAGTTAACTTGTGGCTGAGTGTATCACTGAATTTTACACACTCTTGTAAAATTCAACGTACAGAATAGGAAAAAAACTACATATCATTGGTCTTATTAAATGTCGGAAAAGAATCTTATTACATTTTTGGATTGTTTTAATTCAGCTTCCAAAAATTCATTATTACAATAGAAACAATGCTACTGGTTTAATAATTCTACACTGTATTTTAAGACGTTATAAGGATTCTGCTCTATATCTCAGGACTCTGCTGTAAGACCTGACACCCTTACAACTAAAACCAGTCTTAACTTTGATGTTAAAAAACCTCAAGAACTAAAATTAAAGACAGCTCAGAAACTAGTTCACACTCGTATACCGTAAACCTATAATTTAATCGATTACTATCGACCTCAGTGGGCCACTGGTTGATGGGCCAGTAATTAACACTGGGTGTTAGATGTGGAAGCAGATAGTAACCGATAAAGCAATTGGAAAACAAGTTTTTCTAAATTTCTTCTCATCCGGGTGTTCTGAATAGTGCTCCACTGTTGTTGGGAATAAACTAGTTTGAGAACAGTCATACTAGGTAATTGGTGTGGCAGTCTGCTAATTAAGTTATTTTCATTATTCTATGATTTGCATTGAAAATATTTGAGGGGAAATGTTTATAAAATGAATCAAACAAATAATTTTGATGAAATTGAAAATTGAAAAATAAAATTGATGTAACCCTATGAAATGCTTATCGAAGATGATGAGTTTTAAAATTAGCCAAATATTATAATTATTATTTTTTATACCATGATAAGGGCATCCAAATATACATATATTAATAATATTTATGTGCTTTAGTATAATTTGAATTAATATTGTAAAAATATGTGGTTTACACCACTTTTGTGCAGGTAGCCTCATTTATATACTTTAAAATTTGTTTCCATTTTGTACTACGTACGACATTGAACTCTTTATTCTTTTAAAAAAGGTGGTTGTCCACTTTCTTTAAAGGTTCTCTTTTGTGTATCTATTCATCTTCGTAGCATTCATAATATATTGTCTTTTCAGAAGCTTTAGTAGCACACAACCCACAGCAAGACCTTTCGGCGCAACAGGGCACCAGTGGCACCACACAGGTCACAGTGAACACCAACCCGCCCACGCACCAGCAGGTACCCAACAATCGGGTCGAATTTGTACAACACCATAACATTGATATGGTAAATCACATGGTAACACTCTGATTACTAGCACGAATGATGGCCCTTGCTGTATAGGATAATTACATATCTTTTAAACTTTTGTGGACCGTTTTTTACATTCTTCATTATAGTCTGTGATGCTAAAGCAGTAAGATTTTTTGGAATGGAATGAGTAGTTTAGACTAATTAGTATTTTATTATAGTTTTAGAACCTACAGCTCTGTATAAATATTATTGAAATCGTTACATTACTTGTTAGTATATATAACTTGTTAAATTATATAATTGTTAATACAAAGATTGAACACTTAAAAAAAATCCTTAGATTCGGCTGGATTCGAACTAACGTGTTCTAGCAAACCGTTACAGACGCTATGTCAACTAAGTCACGAAATCAACCAGCAAGCACCAGAAATTTAAGGAATTTTTTCTAAGTGTTCGATCTTTGTATTAATAATTGTAACAAACTAGTGGAGTGATTTCACAAAAAATCATTGAATATCATGGTAGTGAATCCTGTCATTCAGTAAACGTAATTACAACAAGTTACATAATTTTCAATTAATGTGCATTACTATAAACTTGATTAACTTTTAATGGAAGGTATCTAGAAATATGAACATGCTTTAACAAAGCATTCATTGAGTAGCATAGCATACATTAGTCTACTCATGGACATGTATGTACAATGTGTCCAATGTTCATATACTAACCTTGACACAATGTAGTTCTATCTACGTAAAACAAAGATTTCCTTGAGTCATTACTTAGAGAGGTTTTCATTAGTATAACCTTTTTATTTTTTATTCTATTTATTAGGCCATAGAGAACATTTTCCTGTAAGATTTATATTCTTTAAATTTATGCATGACTTCAGTATATCTTATGCATGTAGATTACTCCGCGTAATGAGTTGTATCATTCTATTCAGGGTGTTTAGGATGTTGACGAAAATACTGGATGACGAGAACCTTTTGAACATTTGCATAAAAGTATAGCTGGCTCACAATAAATTAATCTTCATACTCCATGTATAGTTGAGTTTTTCTTTTAGACATAAGTTGCTTGTTTTGTTAGATAAAATAAGCCTGTTTTGGATTTAGCGTCAACTTCACAGACATCTTGCACAAGTAGCTTGATATCGCTCTCCTCATGAAAGAATGGCATTAGTGGAATTAGGTCAAACATGTTTATTGCTCCATTAGATTAAAAAAATATAACCTGGAGAGGATGAAGCGTTACATTTTTCTGTATCTAAAAAAATATAACCTACATTGGAGACGATGTAAGGTTACATTTTTCTGTATCTAATGGAGTGATAAACATGTTTGACGTAATTTCATTATGCCATTCTTCCGATATGATTATTCATATCCATAGTAGCTTTGACGTTTTTATTACGTGCTCAAACTTTCAAGTGTCTTCTTGTATTATAAGGGATAAGATATTAATTGTCAACAGACTTTCATATTTGTACTAAAGTTTCCTTTATTTTTGTCCGTCCTCTTAGACTGAAGTGTGACATGCTACTTTTTGGAATGTTAACATTTTTGTTTGACTTCCAATTTTGGACAAATTAGTTTTTGAATTCCGAATCTGGATCAAATTTCACTATTCGGCCTATAAATGACATTCCGATGCCATGTCATCTCTTAAAAAACATGCATTAGAAGCGTGTATGTAGACGATTACCGTGAAGTGTATGACATTAATAATTATTTCTTCGTCAATGTTCATATTAAGGTTACATTTCTTGCACAGGGTCACCATTCTCAGCAGCATTTAATGCAGCAACAGTTGATGACTGCGCGCCCTGAACACGCCAACCAACAGGTATCGTAAATTTTCAGCTTAACATGCGTTCAGACCAGAGGCATTCATATTAAACGTTTTATTTTAATTAACAACAAAATGTTATAATCGACCCGACCACAGCACAAAAAAATCGTCATTTCTTTTGCTTTGTTTATTGTAACATTCTCCCTACTACATAACTATAACTTAGTGAAATGGATTTTACTTTAAGTGATTTTACACTAACTAGGAAGGCTGGCATAAACTCCTCTGTTACTGCTTTGAAACTTAATTACTATCCATTGTACAAATGCTCACAATGAGAATGTGCTTTTAATGAATTTTGCTAATATATTTTGCGCCACATGTTTTGTGCACTTTGTAAACAATTGTTAATGTACTTCACGCTGCTTAATTATTCATCATTCAGCAGGTCAGCGAGGTAAGATCATCACAATGTTTTGTAACTGTTGTAATTTTGTATTTTCATTCACTGCTACAACACTTTATACATATTCACCATGAAATGTAATGTTAATTAATATCGTAATACTAATTCCAACAACTAAAAATTATCTTTAATTATTTGGGTAGGTACCTCAATATTAGGACAGCAGGCTAACTGTAAAGCAAAAGACAACCCGGTGGCGTTAACATTCAGCCCTTCCGGCTCAATTTTGCGAATTATAATAATAATAATAATAATAATAATAATAATAATTTGTTTATTTTCTCCCACAATAAATTTAAAGTAATGGAACAGAGCGTACATATTAAACATTGTGAGAGACAGGAGCCTAAACTAGGTAAGACCTGTATCTTAGGCCTCCTGGTCTCCACCTCTTGGTTGAACAATTCTGTACCTAAAATTTCCAATATACATGGTAAGGGATTAGTTTAACAAATTTATAGAATATAGAAGAAAATATAATCTAATAGAGTGTGGTTGCGTGTGTGTATGTGTTTGCGTTTATGTATGTGTGTGTGTGAGGAGTGCATGTGAGTGTGTGTGTTGTATGTATTTAGTGTGGGTGTGAATGTGGTGTGTAAGTGTGCATGTGTGTGAGTAAATGCGTGGGATGAATGGATGTGCGTACTTGAGGCCTTTATCGCTTGTTACGACATGGTTAAAAGTTTTTCAGTTTCGTCGTAAGTTTTAGTAATTAACCAAGTAACAACTGTATCTTTACATTTATATTTTACCATACTGTATATATTAAGACTTTTGTTTAAAAGGTTGTACAGTCTAGGTCCCTGATGGCAAAAGAATCTATGTGCAAAGGATGTCTTAAATAGTTTTGGGTCGCATACCATATAATGCCTCCTCCTATGTGCGTTTGGATGATGAGCATTAAATATGATCTTCCCATGTTGTCTTAGCACCGTGGCAAGAACATATATTTGTCTGACCGAGAGTAACTTTGTGTCGCGGTATAAGCTAATCGTGGAGTATAGACGTGGTTTAGAAAGGCTAACTTTTAGGATTAGCCTTTGTACTCTCTCCAATTGCAACATATGGGTTTTTGCCGCACCTCCCCATGAGGAAATACCATACGATAGGATCGATTGACATAGCGATAGATAAACAGATTTAAACAATTTAAAATCCAACACATGTCTTAGTTTTTTAAAGATGTATATGAGTTTACGGACTCTTTGAGTGAGGCTTGTGATGTGTTCTTTGAAGGAGAGGAGGTAATCAATAGTGATACCTAAGTATTTAATATTTAGGGTTTTTTCAATTAACGCACAGGTACAAATGGTGGAGCTCCAATTAGAGCAAGAATGTGCCCGAATGTTATAGCTGCAAGTTAAGGATTGTTGACCACCGACACAAAATGCAATGTACTTAGTTTTCTCGGTGTTTAGAGTTAAATAGTTAGCTGCAAGCCAATTTCTTACTATATTAAACCCTTCCTGCGCACAGTCAAAGACGCCCTCCCAAGTATCATGGTAGAATGTCAATGTGGTGTCATCTGCATATGAAATAATTTTGCAGTTTCTAAGTTTCATTTGACACAGTTCATTAATGTAACAGAGAAAAAGGGTAGGACCGACAATGCTACCTTGAGGCACTCCGTAATAGACGTTTGCATCCTGACTAAGCACTGAATCAATTTTTACTCTCTGAGTTCTATCTTCGAGGTAGCTGCGTATAAGAGAAAGTTGGGTTCCTCTTATACCCAGCGCCTCAAGTTTATCGATGAGAATGGGAAAAGAAACAGTGTCGAACGCCTTTGCCAAATCTAAGAATATTGTTATACATTTTTTTTTATTATCTATTTTTTGAATTACAAAGTCTGTGAAGCTATGTATTGCATCCTCAGCCGATCTGCCTGCCCTAAAACCGAACTGGGATTCAGAAAGTAAGTTTTTTGCCTCTAAAAAGTTGTTAATTCTTTTGTTCATTATTTTTTCAAAGACCTTAGATGTAGCTGTCAATAGAGAAATCGGTCTATAGTTTGTAATGCAGTCTCTATTCCCACTCTTGTAGACAGGCACCACAATCGACTTCTTCAACGCTCCTGGAAATACCCCGTCATTCAATGATTTATTAATTAAAACGGTAAGTACAGGTGCTACTACCTCCTTAATAGCTTTAAGGGTGTGAGCAGAGATGTCATCCCATCCGACTGCACTGTCAGATTTTAGAGACATAATTGTACTCTCGACCTCTTCACGAGTAGTCTCCATTAGGACAAAAGAGTCAGAGAGTGGTACCTGTGAACAAATGTAGGTAGATGAAATATGCTGATGAGTGTGAATTTTGCTAGCCAATTCCGCACCAATACCAGCGAAAAAGTCATTAACTTCATTGGCAGATTGGAGTTCTGTGGGTTTAATATTTAACAGTTCATGTAAGGGATCTTTTTGTTTATTTAGGTTTGTTATATTTTTTATTGTTCTCCAGAGTTTTTTATTGTTATTTTTAGATGCAGAGAGCTCAGTTTTTTCATATTGTTGTTTACATTTTCTAATGATATTGTTGCAGAAATTCCTGTATCTTTTGTATGTAATTCCTAGTATTGTGTTATTTGGGTCCTGTCTGACTTTAATATGCATCCGATCCCTATTCTTTATACATTTCAAAAGACCTGTGGTTATCCAAGGTTTTAAAGTAATTCTGTTTCGCGGTAGTTTTACGTATATAGTATTGCGTAATATAATATTTTGTGTATACTGAATGAAAATGTTAACAGCCTCATCTAAGTTATCTGTAGTGTATATAGAGCTGAAATCGAGTTTACGTACTTCATCTATTATCTTGTCAAGGTTAATTTTTTTTTTAAAGTTGTATCTATCACAGTTAGTATTATATTTGTTTTTTACACAACATAAAACAGCTTGGTGGTCAGTTATTGACGTTAGCAATACACAGGTCGATGTAGCTAAATTGGTTTTAATAATGACGTGATCAAGGCAGTTGGTCAGGCGAGTAGGATGATTATGTGCCGGTAACATTCCGTGGAATGCCAAGGTATCAAGATATTTATTTGCGTTGTCGTTTGTATGTCTGATGTTAATATTTATGTCGCCTACCAATATTATATTTTTGAAGGACGATAGTTGAGTTAATAAAGTGTTTAATGATTCCAAGAAAGGGCCCAGGTTTTTAAAGCAGCAGGGTCTGTATATGGCAATAATTATTGTTTCTGTTCCGATTTTCACTAACAGACAATTTGCCTCAAACAGTAGTGATTCTTCAACTGTATGTGTGAGGTTGTTTTTTATAAAAACAGTAATTCCATCATTTTGGTTAAAATTGATCTGAGTGCTGTAGTTTGTATAACCACGGATGGTAGGAAGATCAGAAGTGTACTGAAGCCAGCACTCCGTCAATACAACGATGTCACACTCAAACTTTAATCGTGATAAAAGTATAGGTATGCTGGGGAAATTTTTATTTATACTTCTAATGTTTTGTTGTAAGATTTTTATATGTGAGGTTAGTTTTGGTATATGTGTTTTACAGTGTTCCGGCTCACATACAAATGATTTACTTATTGTTAGATTATCTATGTAGTCCATGAGTTGATTGTTATCTGCGAATTTTATTTGAAGGTAATAAATAAC